TTTAAAAGATTATGTATCACATGTTAGAGGCATGGAAACAAATGCTTCGGATAAATTCATTGTGAGCATTTAAAAGTTGAAAAATTATTGATATAATTTATAGTAATTTCTTTAATTTTTTTCGTAAAAAATATTCCTACAAAATTTCTTGCGAAAAAATTCGCAAGAAACTTTCCTGCGAATTTTTTTTTTGCAGAAAACTTTCTTGCAAAATTTAAAATTCGCAAAAAAATATTATCTACGAAGGTATTACTTGCAGATAAAATTTCGCAAGAAAATTTGCAGGAACAACGTTTCTTGCGAACTTTTATGAAAAATTCGTAAAAAAAATTACATATAATAAAACAAATTCTAGTAGTGTTAATAATAAAGGCGATATCATACAAATTCTATAACTTTATCCATACAATAAATTCTATAAATGAAGAAATTCAGATGAAGTCATTTCTTTTGATGTAAATAATTGATATGAAGTTATATATTTTAATTTACTACATATTTAAATGCATCATTTAAACATGTTTTGGTCTCGGCTTAGTTGTGAGATTGAAAATATATATACACGTACCTCATTGTAATTTCTATTAAAAAATACATTTTTTTTTCAGGAAAAGAATTCAATTTATGTTTGTTTAAAATGTTTGGACCTAACTTGTGAAGATACAGAGACAGATGCATACATTGCACATGCCTCTTCCGCTGAATCAAGTCCTCATTATGTGTATATTGAATTAACTTGTTTTTTATTTTTTATTTTTAAAAAAAGAGTGAAGAATCTAATTTGCAATAATTTGCCCCTACTTCCCAGCAAGTGAAAAAAAACTCAAATGAGAAAATTATGCAGTGTGATATGTTCCTAAGCATATACTAGAATGAAGAGAAGTCGCATTGCTCTCATGACGAGTTCCCTCGTTAAAGTTAGGTTGTATGAATGAAATGTAACTTGGGGGGACATGAACATACTCTTTGACCCAATTAATTTGGCAACAAGAAAATGTGTTTGGCTGTTAGCTCATGGATTAATTCATTCACCTCGAATGAACCAAAGTGGCAACTATTAGAATTCCATTGTCCATGCAACATAATCCCTTTCGAAGACGCAAGAAAACAATAAAATTTTGCATCTCACGTACACAAAAGCAAGAAAAGGACATGGAAACAATTTGGTCTTGTATAACAAAGAGGGAGACTTGGAGATTCTTATACAGTGGGAACTTGTCAGACTTTGAGAATTCATGAAAATTGGCTTCAAAGATAGCATATTTTTTCCTCAATTTCACCTTGAAGACAAGGTGGTTGCTTTGGGGAATTACTGATACATGACCCCTCATTAAGAAGGTATACATGCGAAGGCATAAGAACAAAGATGAGAATAAGAGTACAACGGATATGAAAATAAGAGTATAGTGTTACAAGTCTGAGTTGGAGATAAACAAAATGTTCATCATAACAAGCTACGAGCAATAATTTTGTTTGAGTTTAATTTCTATGCATTAACTAATTAAAAATCCCGATAAGTATAATTTTTAAAGGTTGTTATTACTAATGCCAAACAACTTATTATATGGCAATTTTTAATCAAATAACAGTATATAAATCAATGGAGATTTAAGTATGTTAGTTGTGACACCCTCTACCCCAACATCATTAATAAACATAAACTATATTTATAAAAGATTTTCTTAGAATGATATAAAATAATAAGTATCATAAGGTAGAAGATGCACATTCATAATTCATACACATAAATATTAAACTCAAGAAGTTATTATAAAACAAAGATTATAAATTAATCCCAGTAAAGGTGGCAGTGCCTCCTAGTTAGGAATCAATTTATAATTTATTAAATTACACAAGAAAAGAAAATATTTTTAGAACAAGAAAGACATAAGAGAAATCCTAGCTAAACCCGATGTCACATCCTATCAGAGCATGCCCCAAGAAGCCTTTAGGCCTCATCACCAACATCCTCATGATGATGATCACCTGCAACAAATCTTAAACTAGAATGCATGCCATTTTTTTTTGCCTAAACTTTATCATGTTTTGATTAACTATGGGATATGATGCATGATAAGTGTATTATCTGTATCGCGGAACCGAGCTTAAGCTTGGCACTGAAGCGCTAAACGACATCGGATGAACGCTACCAGACATCGGCTAGAACGAAGGCCCACTATCTGAATGGATCATAACCGACTTCAGGCCCAAGGCCCAGATAAACCCTAATTCATACCAAGGTACGTGCATTATATATATGAGACCCATACACCCACATATACTAACTTTAGCATCGGAGTCTCTTTTGCAGGTACCACCCCCACTTCGGAACAACCGACGTACCTAGCGAAGGAGGCTAACCGATCTTGCCCAGCAGATCGTCCCTCATGACCGATCTCCGGTAAGAACATTTGGCGCCCATCGTGGGGCCGATCAAGACATCTCTTATCGGCCACCCTTATGGTTTTCACCCGAAGCCATAGTAGACTAGCAACAGACGACCAAGATCACACATCAAGAATGGAAGGAGAAGCGACATTGAGACGGCTGATCGAGAAGGTCAACCAAATTCGACAACAACATGCTATCGACTTGAAGAACATGCGCGCCCGGCACGAAGCTGACCTCGCGGCGCTGCGAGCTGAGAATGAGCGCATCCGCGCCCCTCTTTCTTAGCGCCCCCCTGATCAGCCCCCTCAACCAAGCCATGAACACGAGGAAGAAGGGCACTCGGTTTCCCAGCCACCAACTGCACCCAGGGCGGTGACCCATAGGTCTATTGCGCATAGGTCACATGTACCGACGCATAGGTCAGACCACGAAGTTAGCAATGCACCCGCCCAGGCTCTAGGACATAGGGCGAGCATCCGCCGTCATCCTTTTGTTGACGACATCATGGAGACGCCCCTTCCTTTTGGATTGAAGCCCTTCAACATCGACCGCTATAATGGCACTACTGACCCGGATGAGCACGTCGACCTGTACGTCACGCAAGTAAACCTTTACACTAACGATGATGCTATCCTGTGTAGGGTTTTCCCGACCTCGCTTAAGGGATCGACACTCGCTTGGTATACTCAATTGCCAGCGGGATCAGTCGATAGCTTCGACACTCTGGTAAGGCGATTCACGGCGCAGTACGCAACGAGTCGACCTCATCACATCACATCCGCCGCCTTGGCCAGCCTCAGACAGGGCGACGACGAACCATTGAGGACATTCATGGAGTGCTTTGCTGGCATCTCCGTCAAAATCCGCAACCTAAACCCCGAGGTCGCCCTACACGCCATGCTCATGGCACTCAACCCAGGGCAGTTGACCAGTTGTGAGTATTATAAATTACTAAATACCAAATTCAATTCATGTGGATAGAAAAAATGATAATGAAAAAAAGCTTTATACTTTTGGACATATAATATATATTCATTTTGTTTTGGTTGGTTGGGGGCAGGCCAACAAAAAATAAAGAAAATGAAAATAGTATAAAAGTTACAAGAAGGAAAAGACCATTATACAATGTTTGGGCTTGGGCCGTAAATTGCTATCCTATGGCATACCAAAATTATTTTTCCGATCTATGCATATTTGAGCCATAAATTTATGAAATTCATTTTACATTTAATGATTAAATTAAAACAGAATAAATAAAAAAAATTACTTCAAAGTTCAAACTTCAAAGATAAATCAAAGAAAAATGTAAAAGGAATAAATAATAAATAGGACTTATAATTTTTTTTATATGAAATTTTATATTATTAACTAATGAAATTGTACTAGTAGCTATAACTTTTAAAATAATTGAAAAATCAACAAACCTGTAACAATTTATAGTTAGATAAAAATGTTAAAATTCTTTCTATTGTTATTGCATATAATATTTTTTATAATAAATAAATATTAAATATTGAGAATCAACAAACAAATAATTCGGTGAAAGAAAAAATATTATATTTTAAAAAAAAATTCTTTTTAGTATACCATAAGTTCTCTTACTCTATTTTATGAGAAAATGATATTTGAAATTATAAATTCATTCCCAAAACATGAATATAATACTAGTTTGATTAAAAAATATAAATGTCAAATTATTTAGACTAGCGATTTTTTATTGAGTTTAATTTTAAAAAATTAGATTTTTTTTTGTATTTTATCTTTTTTTTTAATATTCACTTTATTCTTTTATTATTCAAAAATACTAATATAATCATTTATCTTTCTTAAGTTTAGATCAATTTTAATATTTTAAAATAATGATTATTTTCAATTTAAAATAAAATTTTGAATTAATTTTTAAATTATTTAAAATGTAAAATTTATTTTAATAAATTCACACACATAAAAATTACGAAATTAAATTGATATTTAAATTAAAAGTTTTAAAATAATGAAAATCATATGAAAAATAAACTTTATTAGTAACTGAAAACATATAATATTAATTTTTTACAAAAAGAAATTGGTTACTCGTTGAACTCATTTTCACACATTTTTTCATAATATTTATAAACTTTTTTCATTGTATTTATTTTTTATGTAAATAAATATAATAAGACAAACTTCATATCTTGAATAAATAAAAAAAAAACTTAAAATTGTGTCAAATTAAAAATAAAAATAATTATTATTTCAAGAGGATTAAATGACTCATTTTTTTAAAAAATAAAATATTAAAATAAACTATTTAAAAGTTAAAAATTTAAAATAAAATTTTAAAAAATAATACAAAGAACTAAAAATGTAATCTTGATTTTTATTTTATATATACTTTGAGTGTAGATATCTTACACAATTAATTAATTAATTAATTAAAAAGATAATAAATATAATTTTGAAATAATTATTACAAAATTTAAAATCCTATTCATCTATGTCAGTTATTATTATTTTTTTTTTGGTATTGCTATAACAGTTTATAATTGATGAATAATCCTCTTTAATTTTATAAACAAAAATATTAATTATAAGAAATATGAAGGTAAAGGGGCCAATGGAGAGGACAAGGTAAAAGAGCGAAGCTGAAAACGAAATCCCTCCTCTTACCCGTCAGTTCCTATCTCATCATCTTCCTTCCTCCGCCACCAGCCTTCACCGGCCTCATTTGCTCACTGCCAATCCCAAATCGATGCCAATTAATTCTCAAACAAACTCACATTTTCCATATTATTTATTATTTTATTATATCTCTGAACCCAGTGCCCAAATTCACATTTCACATTTCACATTTCACAGTCACGTGACCCGCACGCTCTTTCCCGCCCTCACAAAAATTAACCTGCGCCACCTTTCAAATTCCCCCTCACTTTCCCACCATTTTTTCTAAGCAAAAGAGCGTGGCCAGAGAGAGAACCGTTCGTTCCATTCAACCACCACCGCAAGCGATGGTGGACGGCGGAGAGTTCGCCGGCACCATTTGTTCGATCTGCTACGAGCCTCTCAACCCCGTTAGCGAGGACCTTCAATCCGTCTCCATCTGCGGCCACGTCTTCCATGAGCTCTGGTAAATTCCCTTTCTACCCTTTTGCGTTTTTCTCCTTCAGTCCGCGCAGACGCCGTTAAAGTTCCGTTCTTTGCCTCCGTTTTGATCTGGGTGTGTTGGATGTTGTGTTGTGCAGTCTGCAGCAATGGTTCGAGTACTGTTCTAGATCGAAGAAGCACACGTGTCCCGTTTGCAAGCAGAGTTGCAGAGCCAGCGACGCGTGCAGGCTTTATTTTCAGTCAGTGGGAGATGCGAACGATGGGGTGAAGCCTCAGAAGAGCGTTGAATTTGAGGAAGATGCTGGGGTTCTACGTAGGGAAGTGAAGAGATTGGAGGTGAAAGTTTCGGGGCTTGATTCTGAGTTAGAACGGAAATCAAAGGAATTAGAAGGGCTTAAAGAGGAGGTATTTTTGTTTTATTTTATGTTGTTTCATTTTATTTTGTGTTTTAAAGGAGAGTAAGAAGAATATTGGAGAAGATTCTTAAGAGGGATATTGTGGTGAATACTAATTTGGTTTTTAATCAAATTCAATGATGTTGTGTGATTCAAGTACCTGGCCTGCCTTAGTGGGATAATGCTTATATTATAGTTGTTGTTGGATTAGCTTAATTTATGGGGTAAATGAGATGCTTTAGGTTGAGATTTGAGTGAGACTGTGACACTTAATGTTCAGAAGGGGGATATGAACTGGGGGGGACCATGAAGGGGACAGTAGAGAAAATTGTTAAGAGGGATCTCGAATAATATTCTTCAGAATTTGGTCTTTAACTGAATTCTCAATGAGATTGTGCAATCCATATACCTGAATTCAGTGGGATAAGGCTTTTGTTGCATTTAGTTATTGGTTGTTGCTTAATGTAATGTAAATGAGATGCTTTAGGTTGAGGTGTGAGTGAATGTGTGGCAGTGTGGCGCTTGATGTTCAGAATTGTTATTGGAATGTTAAACTGATGACTGGTTGATTGTTTGTTGCTGATAATTACTGGAAGGCAAGGGTGTTTGGGAATTGTTTATTTATTGATGGGCTAAAGTAAGTCACAAGAGGATTGAGGTTTTGTTTTGAAGGGAATTGTTCTTTGTAATGTGCACTGCAGAAGTGTTTTTTACTATAGCTCAATTAATAGCTGCACAAGTGGTTAAATTTCTGATGATTGGTAATGTAGTAGAAAGAAGTTCAAGATTCATGCTTTTCTCGTGACTTGATATTTTAAGTGTAATAAAACGAATTAAAGAAGCCTCATTGTGTTGATGATCGGGCATTTGAATTGACAGAGGAATGAGTAGTTTAATAGAGGGAAGGAATTCAAATCTTGCTCCATTTATTGTATTTTAATGCAATATTGAACTTTACAATCAGATTAATTATAAGTGAAGTTGCATCAAACTCTAAATCCTCATGGAGTGTGAGCCAAGTACTGTTATTTGGTGTTATGTGTCTCTGTAAAAGTTCAGTTCTCACCCTTGTTCAAAAAATAGTAGCAACCAAGCATAACATTTTTCTCATTTTTATTGGTAAAACTTTTTATGTTAAAGCAATTGATTTCTTATGGCTCTCAAACGAGTCTGCCTTCAGCTTTATGCTTGCAAGGACCAGGCAAAGATAGAAAAAGCATTAAAGAATGAGGCTTTGAATCAAAAAGCATCCATACAATTCCAGCTTCATAAGAAATCAGAGGTGAATTACTCTTTAGCTTTCTGTTTTATCTATGACAAGTTAACCATTTACAGCCTGAATTAACTTGTAAAGATTTCTTATTTACTCAGGAGCTTGAGAAGTCAACTTTGGAGTGTTTTAGATTGAAAGATACGAATATGGCTTTGGCTAAAGAACTTGCAGCATTAAAATTGTCAGTGGAGCTTCACTTTGATTGAGTAACTATATTTTGTTTATGATGTAATATTCATTTATTCTTTTACTTCTTGCTAAGTTGGTTTTTGGACTTAACTGTAGAGTGTCTGATCTGGACATTGATGAAGAGGAGGTTTTGAAGCTTGCCACTCTGGGTAATGGGGCCAACAGTAAAGATACAATAGATACATTGAAAAGATCTCTCGTCATGAGGAACAGGTTTATCCCCCAAGTCTCTTTTATTTTTCCTTCTTACTTTTGCCAATAAGCTAGATGAAAAAGTTGCTCAGTGTTGGACTTTCTGAAATTTAAAACCAGCAAACATTTTATTTTTGGCACTTCTTCTTGTGATACTATTCTGTGTATTTTAAGCACAAAAATCATGTTTAGCCCTTAATATTGTGCCTGGTTGACTAATACTATCATGTCTTGCATGAATTGTAATTGCACATCTTCTGATAGGAGTTACAAAGAATTGATGGCCAAGTGCAATATTCTGGGAAGAGGCGAGGCTCGTTATAGCAAAAAGCTTGAAAAGGCTAAAGAGAAGATCACTAAATTGAAGGTAAGTACACGATGTGCTTGATAGTTGCTAATCTCATTAGTAGCAATTTTTATGGATATTAACTGTTAAGAGTTTTCTGGGCCTTTTCAGGCAAGGCTACTGGAATTGGAGACATTAGCTGAAGTAAAAGAAAATGAACTGATGTCTGTGAAACTTTCAAAGAAAACAAAGAGGTTAAAGAATCTTGAAAATAACATCAATTCTGATTCTGATGCATTGACAGCTTGTAAATTTTCATTAAAAGAGCAAAGCAAGCAAATTTCAACACCCAAATCTGGAATGGACCTGACTGCTAAAGACAACAGTAAATCTTTACAATCTTTGAAGACAGAGAACTCCAGTGGTGATAAAAATAAGACGGTGAATATTAGTAATGTAAGTAAAACTACCTTTTCTCTTGATAAAAGGAGAGATTATATCTCAATTGATGAAGATGATTCAGAAGGCACTAAAGCTTTACAAGGATGTTCAAATCTCAAGTACAAAGATCAAGACAGGGATGATATTGCTTTTAGCAAGCCTTCTCTAGTGAAGCCAGAGGCCCTGTCTGGCATACGGACCGAAACATTATTGCAAGGAAAATGTACTTTGGCCGAGTCTCCCAGAGTTGATATTGACATTGACATGGCTAATGTTTCAGCTGGTGCTATGAATGAAGATGTAACTTTTCAAACCAATGTTAAAGAACCCATGGTAAACATTCGAAAGGAGTCACCAATAGCACTTTCAAATTCAGGTATGCTGATATTTGAGTTTTGAAAAATGATTATTATTATTATTATTATTATTATTATTATTAATTAAAAGAAAATACAGTTGATGATTTAGATTTACTGAACAAAACTTAAATGGTGACATTTTCTTCTTTCTCCATCTTAAGTTCCAGGGAACATATGCTTTTCTGGTGGATTGCTTGGTCCTGATGGAACTCATCGATACTTGGGTAAATGGTGCAAGCGTGGACTGAACAGTGAATCATCATCTGCAAAACGTTCAAGTAATGGGGATTTAATAGCTGTTGGGGCTGATGGTAGAGGTGGCAAAATTAAAGTTTTAAGGACTCCTAGCCAAATCCTCTCGGTGAGTTCTGTAGTGCTTAATGTTGATGGCATGTAAGTGTAAAAGTTTACAAGCTATAAAAGTTTTCATTCATGACTTTGTTTGGATAAATTTTGTTACAAGTTCGTGTAAGAGAAGCAAATAAGAAGAAAAATGAAGCAAATATCTTTCATGAGCTAATTTGTAGAAGTTCCTTTATTTTAGATTCTTCAAATGTTAACTTGAACTCGTGTATAAAATAATTTTAGCTTATGGGAAAAATTTGTTTTATTTTTTCTCTTTATGTTTTTTATGATGCTTATAAAGAAATTTATCTAAAAGATTCATAATTGATATGTTTGAAGTAGAAGTACTATCTTTCAGCAAATATGTTTGTCTTTTACTAGTTTCTTTAATACATACTTTCTCTGTTTTCTATTATAAGAAAAATAAAACACATTTTTGTTCTTAAATATAAGTAAATTTTAATTACTTTTGTTTCTTATTAATCTTATTTAATTACTTTTGTTTCTTCCTTCTGTGTATAGTAAGGGCATAAGAGTCAATTTGTAATTATTATTATGTACTCGTATCTTGATGAGTTAAAACACTTGTTGGATATGCTGACTATACATGGTAATTTGCTAATAGAATTTTGATAACTTGGTGTGTTAATAATAAATGAGTTATTTCCCCTAAACTCCAAAATAATCATTTCCAAACATGCACTTATTAAGGGTATTATAACAACTCCCTAAGTGCATATTTGTGCATTATCTTGTTGATGTTTAAAGCTGTAAACTGACTTTAAAAGTTTGTGTCTTGCAGGGTGGTAAGGAAAATTCAGTAAGTTCAAAAAGGTTGAAGTTTGGAGCTAAAACAAGTAGTTTGCAATCTCAGGGGTGCTTGCAGATAGAGCATTTTTTTGGTAGAGTCACTCAGTAATATATTGGTCTGTCTAGGCGTGGTTGTGATGTCCTTGCTACAAAGTAAAGGAATGCACCTGTCACATAAGGGAAAACATGACAGATTAAAGTTTTTGTTTTTTGGGGGAAAGTTTTCATCGCTTTGAATAAGCTTTGGGGATTTTGGCTAAAGGTGTATCAAAATCAAGTAATTGACTCCTTGGCTTCGGAGGAAAAATAAGTTTATTATATTTTCTCATGCTACATTTTCTTTTCTTCATATTTTGTATATGCCCGGTAAAATAAATAAGATTAATAAGCGTATTAAGTGTGTTTGGATATCACTTTGAAATTACGTTCAAAAGAAAAACACATTCTAATATAGAAAAAGAGTTTGTGAATGAAACTTTTTTTTTCCAACTCCAATTGAGTTGAATAAAACTAATTTCCAAACACACCATAAATCATTAAGTAATTGATTGAGTAGAATATCGTCCCTCCAAGACTTAATACTTGGCAGCACAATCTCACTGTTTTTTTTTTATCAAATAGTTAGCTTAAAATGCTATATTGATGGTTTTGTATTTGAGATAATAAGATGAAAATGAAATATTAAAAAGATAATTTTGGTATTTTTGGTTGTAGAATAAAATAGAAATGATATGATGATTCAAAGATGATGTTCAATTCTTTATCAAGAAAAAAAATTGTGTTCTATTGGAGTTAGACTTCTCTAAACAACATTCTAACTGCATTCTCCTTTCTATAAGTACCTTTTTGAGTTTTAAAATTGACATCAGATTAATAATACTCTTAACCATATTTTCTTTGGAGAAAAAAAAGTCTTTTTAATTAAATGCAAATCTTTTGAACATTTAAATGAGTAACTTGCAGTAAATTATTACAATTATAAAATGAGTAACCACAATTATCAAAATTCAGTTATAAACCTCTTTCTCCCTTTCTCTCGTTTTGAGTTTAATGTTTATAGTGTTGTCAACTAATAATAAATGATATTAGAGCTTGAGAGTTTGGTGATAATGTGAATAAAAAAAATATTTGAGTGTGTAAGGAACAAGAGAGTTCTTACTTTGTAAAAAAAATGTATATATATATATATATATATATATATATATATAAAGAGTTGTTATATTTTTTAGAGAGAGAGAAAGATATGACCACTAGTTATAATATTATTTGGTTCAATCCTAAATTAGATGGGAAGTTAGATTTTAAATACTGGGAGACTTTGTTGGCTACACATATGATTATTTCTTTTTCGACTTAATACAATAAAAGATATATTAAATGGATGTTAAATTTGCATTTCTAAATGGTATTTTGGAAGAAGTATATGTTGAGCAACTTGATACATGGTAAAAGGGGAAGAAGATAAAGTATTTAGATTAAAGAAAACTTTATATGGATTGAAGCAAACACTAAGAGCATAGTATAAGAAAATTGATTCATACTTTGTGCAATATGATTTTGAGATATATCCTTTTGAGCACACTCCTATTTTAAATTTGTTGGTACTGAATATATTCCTATTGTGTGCTTATATGTTGATGATTTAATCTTTATTGTCAACAATCCAAATATGATTGCAGAATTCAAGGAGGCTATGATTAGTTGCTTTGAGATGTCACATTTAGGGCTAATGTCTTATTTCCTTGGTATTGAGGTTGTTTAACAAGATGATGGAATTTTTATCACTTAAAAGAAATATGCAAGTTATATTTTAAAGAAATTCAAGATGGAGAATTCAAAGTTATTTTCCACGCTAGTTGGAGAAAAGTTAAAACTAACAAGGGAAAGTGAGGACAAAAAGGTGGGTGCAACCCAATACAAAAGTTTGATTGGAAGTCTAAGATATTTGATTGTGACTAGATCAGATATAGTATTTGGAGTAAGATTATTTAATAGATTTATAGAGAAGTCATATGTTTGTCATTTATAAGGATGAAAGAGAATTATTTATTATATTAAAAGTACTCTAATTGATGTAATATTTTACACTAGTAATAATGATGTGAAGCTTGTTGGATACATAAATAGTGATTGTGTGATGTAGAAACAAGAAAAAACATGTCAAGGTATGCATTTCATTTAGGTATTAATGCAATATCATGATCTTCAAAGAGGAAAACGATTGTTGCACTTTCTACCACTGCTACACAGACAGTATGGTTGAGAAGAATTTCAGAAGTGATGCACCGAAAGTAGAATAACCCCACAAAACTATTTTATGATAATAAGTTTGCAATTGCATTAAACAAAAATATAATATTTCACAGGCATTCAAAACACATTGATATTCAATTTCATAAAATATAAGAATTGATAGTAGATAAAGAAATACAAATTAATTATTATCCAACTGAACATTAAGTTGTAGATATTTTTATGAAACTGTTAAAGATCGAGTTATTTTACAAATTGAAGAAAATGCTTGAAATGATAAAAACTTAATTTAAGGGAGACAATGTTAAAAAAAAAAAAGAGAGCATATTATTACTATAAAAAAACTTCATAGTTAAGAATTCAGCTGTTGCAACATACTTTTTATCTACCGTCGATAAACTTATATTGAATGCATAGCACACCTATACTTAGGTATTAAGTATTAGTAATATTTTATTGTATTACTTAACCATTAGGATGTGTTACTTTGCCTATAAAAGGCTACTTGCTATACCATGATTTATGCATCGATCAAAAAAAATTGAGTGAAATCAAAATTCAGTTATAAACCTCTTTCTCCCTTTCTCTCGTTTCTGCTATGAGTTTAATGTTTATAGTGTTGTCCCACTAAGAACAATATCGATCATTCAAAAATGCTTTTGCAAAGATGAAGCTTATAAGACTATCGAGGTTGGTGTAACAAATACAAGGTTAAATTGTAATTAGTTTCTAAATTAAACTATGTGCTATTTTATAATGGTCAAAGTATTTTTGCTTTTAACTTGACGGGAAAAAAAGTGCTGGATTGGTGTTGAAGGAATTTTTAAAGGTGAAAACAAACACACTGAATAAGCTAGGTTTTATACGTATGAAGAAAATGGTTGGTTTACATTGCGTTTGGTTCTGTATTGGTTCCGCACCTTGCCATGATTTTATGTATAGCTTGGCAACGTAATTTTTCAACTCACCATCACCCCAAACATACACTTAGACTTCAGAGAAAGTTAATCCGAAAAAATTGGGATGAAAATTGCTTGTGCTTTGGAATATTGGCAACTAACTGAAAGTATATATGTGTTACGTATTTTGTGTACTCATTTGGGGATACGGTATGGGTATGTGTAATATCTTGCTTTGCACAATGCACTAGATTTTTCATTAAGAGGGAGATTACATGTTAGGTTTGGGGTTTTATTTTAATTATATGGATAGTGATATACTGAGTTGATGAATGTGCTATATGAAGGGTTTGTGGTCCTCCTAACTGAATGCATGTCATCATTTTTCTTATTGATCTTTATAGTGTATGAGTAGATTACAAGTTATTAAGAATTTGTAGTCCGATAATTGTTAATTAATGTATGCATGTCCTGGTCTACTTATTGTATTGTTTCGTTTGTGTCATGTTTTGCGCGTTTCATTCGTGTTAGATTTTAAGGATAGTCATCGAAGTATATTATTGTGTATATTTCATTGTTATTAAACTTGGATTTTTTTTAATTAATTTTTACAACATTTTTTTTTATGAAAAATAATTATGTTTAAAGCAAGTAAGATTATAATATACGACAGAATTTTCTTTCTAACTTCGAATATTTCACACAGATACATAAATTTAGATTAATCATCGAATGAGTTGAGCCACTGTATAATTAATCGGTCAATAATGGAAGGGACAGAATCGGATAAAGTGTGTGAGTATATAAATCGTGATTATATATTTAAATATACGCTTACAAACTGAATAATATTTCACAAACAAGTGTGATACGAGAGTATAAATAATAAATGATATAAAGTAAAAATAAACTAGAACGACGTCTCAATATTATCAGAAGATTTTTTTTATATGATGAGAAGAATTAAAATATAAGAGTTGATGACAAATAAATATTTAGAATTCAAACAGGAAAAAAAACAAGAGGGGTGTGCAAAGTAATTATCAAGTTTTCACAGAGGGTTTCTTGTGCAAACATCGACCCATACGTTACAGTAAACGGGCTTTAGGCTAGCTTGCATTTTTTTTATCTCTTTATTTTGCTTTGTTCTGCCGATTTGGTTGGGCTCATGCCCATTAATTTCCCTTGTTCTGTTGAAATTCTGAACTTCTGTCAACAAAATAATTAAAAGAATTGTTTTTGGCGAGCAAAAAATAATTTAAAGAATAAAGAGTATAAAACTTACTTCTTCAATCATCTAAATATAACATTGATCGTACAATTAAAATGTCCTTCTTTATTTTCGTACAGAAAACAATCCCTTTATAGACAATCTATGCACTGTCAATTTGTATCAACTTTTTTTCCTTAACAAGTAGTTAATTAATAATTCAGAATTAGTCTTAAAATTTAGCGTCGCCCTATTTTGTCATAAGACTATGTTTTGATATGTGGTAAATTGTGCAATGGAGAACGATGGAGTGGCAGGAGAAATTATTCCATTGTTTAGTTTGTAAAAATAAAACTGGAACATGATGGAAGAAAATGAATCATGACTCATATATATATATATGAGGAGGGTTTAAACGACACCGGTGTAATTTTTACTAAGTGTTACACCGCTTAATAATTTTATATTAAATGTGAATTTTGAAAATCCAACCGTTAGATTGAAAGTTCATATCTCTTAGATCATATATGTTAAATTTTGTTAAAATTGAACAACAACTTGAAGGTAATCAAAATATTCATATTTTAGTATATTTTGAAATGTATATATTATGTCAATTTTGTTTCATAAGAATGAAGTATCAAATTATCTTAGATTAATATAAAATTTGATATATATGATCTAAGAGATATGAACTTTCAATCTAACGGTTGGATTTTCAAAATTCATATTTAATATAAAGTTATTAAACGGTGTAACCTTCTCTCCTTATTTGTGGTGTATAAGATGGAACAAAACTTTCATATTACAAAATAACTATCTTTTGCAAAATTTATGCTAATTATAAGTCTATTAAGAATATATATTTAAAATAAATTAATATGAAAATTAAAAAGTTGTGCCTTATTCTATTTTGTCTTTTTTTTTTTTCTCTCTCTAAACAATGGAATACAATCTTTACTTAATTTGTTT